CTCAAGAGACCAAAGAGATAGAATCTCAAGTTGAGGACTTGTTGAAGAAGGGTTGGGTTCAAAAGAGCCTTAGCCCTTGTGTCGTTCCCGTTCTTTTGGTGCCTAAGAAAGATGGCAAGTGGAGGATGTGCACGGATTGTAGAGCCATCAATAACATCACCATAAAATATAGGCACCCAATCCCTAGGCTAGATGATATGTTGGATGAATTACATGGGGGCCATCGTATTCTCCAAAATTGATATTAAGAGTGGTTATCACCAAATTAGAATCAAAGAGGGTGATGAATGGAAAACCGCTTTTAAAACCAAGTTTGGTTTGTATGAATGGTTAGTGATGCCTTTTGGTCTCACCAATGCCCCTAACACCTTCATGCGTGTCATGAAGCATGTACTTAGGGATTGCATAGGGAAATTTGTAGTTGTTTATTTCGATGACTGTATGAATAATAATAATAAAATTATTCTCCTTTTCAAGTATAGGTCTAACATCAGCATGAGAAAGCAAACACAAAAATCTGAAGCTTCAAAAAGGCAACATTGTTGGTCAGTGTATATAGCACGTCTCTTTTGATGGATAAATTATATGAGAAAGGGTATATTTTAAACCCCATTCTTAGCTATCTATAAGCATGGTAGTTTCTAGCCCTTAATCAGTTAATATTTCTGTATTAATGTATTAGGCCACCAAGATAACAGAAGGTTTCAAATACTATAATTGAGCAAGTTTATGTAACAAGATACTATTATTTGAGAAGTTTATTATGGATTCAGAAAGTAATATGCCAGGAAAGAATATCAAGAGAGGCCTGTTAATCAGTGAGGAAACTACTTATGAAATTAAAAACTGAAGCCTTAAAACTTGCCTCAGTTAAACATACATGGCTGCCAGATGGTGTAGGTGGACCAACCAAATTGAGTGGGGGATCCTCTTGGGATGAAAAGTCAGAACTATCAAAAGTTGATAATGAGACACACTCATCAAAATAAGCCTTGGCATCTTCTGCAAGACGTTTTGACATCCTCCTTCTTTCAATGCTAGACTGTAACCAAATTTTTGGTTCATTAACAATGGAATAGAATTAAAAAAAAAAAAAATATTGCACACCTGCACAAATAGTAAGCAATACTTCACGACAACCACTACATCATCTTCACCCCCACATACTGTGAGAATAATGAGTTAAAATATGAAATACATAAAATAAGGCTATCAGCATATCTGATTGAAAACATCAACGTGGGAAGCTTTGATATCTTGATTTCAACACTAGAAAAAGAGATGTGGATTTTTCTATTCAAATATTTTGGATTTCATGTGATCAAAAATCATATTTTATTTATAAAACAGTGAAAGTGTAGAAGCTTCTTCCCTTCCTCAAAAAATCCATATATGAAGGTTTATAATTCATAAAAGATGAAGTTATGCTTGGTACATGAATAAAACAAGACAAAATCTTCATTTTTTAAGATTTCCCCCTCATCTTTCTGCTTCTAACCTATAGCCCTCCCAGGAAAATGTTTACCCTCTGCTTACATAATTATAAAGAATATAACCCATATACAACAGAACACGTGTTACATGCATTTTAATGGGAAAATTATTCAAGAACCACATGTTTGAAACGATCATGCATTAGACTAAAAAAATGCCAGAAAAAACGACCTACTTTTCTTGCAGGACGAGACTTTTGTACAATAGGGGTCTTTGAATATGGCAGAACATCTTTCAAGATTCTATCCAGCTCTCTTTCACGATGTTCTTCAACAGCCAGATCTGCTCGAAGATTTCTAGATCGCTCCTGGGACTGTAAAAATGACAAGGTCTACTTAATAAAATACCATTTAAAGTAGAGGAGACTAGAATCCAAATAGACAATATAACCGCTAGAGACAAAATACATTAAAGGGAAGATTTTCTTTAGTTATTTAGTCTGGAAAGCAGAATGAATTGGTGGCTCATCTGAGAGTTGACAGATAAAAGCATCAAGGGACTTCAAAAACAAAACATGTAATAGAACAATGATACCAACCCTCAAGCTCAACTACTAGATGACTATCAACAAAAAGAAAAGTTAACCATACTCTATCTACATGTACAGAAGGGAATATCACCTCTTCAAGCTTTTTGGCATATTCTTTTCTAATCTCAAAAACCAATTCTACTGCACCAGGGTTTACCAAGTCAGGAGGAATATCAGCCACATTGGTAACAGCGATGGCAGTAGCATTACTTCTATGGATGGCCTAAAATTCCAGAGTCAAACAAATTAGAAAATAGCATAAAACTTCCATTTACAATTACTATATTACAATTAAAAATTAGACATACATTTATCAACAATAAATAGTCCTCAACTATTCACACTTTGTGAGCTGTGATGACTGATGCGCAACCAGAATTTGAGTACAAGTACAAGGTATAGAGAAAGAAATATAATGAGTAAATGATCAATGTGAGTATGCACTTCCCTGGAAATATAAAAGAAACTCGCAAGAAATGGAGGCATTGCTACACTTCATGTAAAATGCAAAGTTTTATTGCTGGACCAGTTAAATTTTCACCTTTGAAAATGCATCAAGATATAAGAGGTTTTTCTCAAATTTTTAGCAGCTACAAGTTTATGATTCATTCGCACAAAATGAACTGTCATGCTCTGCTTCCTGGCTTATTCTGTTATAATAATGACTAGTAGGTGTCTTACCTAACCTTTTTCGTTTATGGCTTTCTAAGTATTTATAATACATGACTTCAATTATTAGTCTTAGTCAGACGCACACAGAGAAAACTTTCCATTAAATAGTAGCATATTGTACCAATCACCATTGGCTAAATCAATTCAAATAGAACCAGTTGACTTAAAGCTTGCAATGAGAAGGACAGGAGTTCATGAAACTTACGCTTTCAAGGTCAATCTGAATCTCAGAAATAGCACGCCTCACTTCAGAACGAACCGTTTCATATATATCACTGGCTTCTGGCATATCTCTTGGTACTGACTGCAGAAATGAAGACCCAAACATATACCAAAAGTTATCTATTTGTCATCAAGAACAACTACTAACTTTAGGCCTAGTATTATAGAATAGAAGCATTAAAGTTTCTCCCTAGGAAGAATAATTTGTCAGACTGAAATTTCCGATATGTAGGAAATAAAATCTACATGAATGAACTGTGGCATCAGATATTTAATGGTAGGAAGAATGAAATGGGATAAAATGCTGTAAAAGGAGTATTTTAGGAGATTTGATATTATTCTGCAATTTTTTCTTATTTCTTTTATTTTTGTTTATTTTCACAGTTACCTTATTTAGGGACAAATGTATCTCTATAATAGAGTCAAATAAGAATGTAATTGGCGGAACACAAATTAATAAAATCATCTCTTTCAACTTGGTATTAGAGCTCCCAATCTTGGGAGCTTTGTTTCCACCCTTGCCCTAAAATTAGAGTTGTTGTTGTCGTCTCCGTTGTCGCCAAAGCCACCATCGCCATCATTGAAGTTGGTTGCGAGCCAAAAAGGAGCACCCTTCACCGGCAATCACAACACCATGAGTCACATAGCCAGAAACCTCCCCTTTCCTTCAAAACACAAGGAGAAAAATTCACCAACCCAATCTCAACCAGAACAAGATATTAGAGCCTGTAAAGAAGAGTGACCGTCTGAGAATGATGATTAAATCTGTGTAAGCTCTTTGGCTCGTGCACATTGTCCAAGAAAAGTAAGAGTTATTTCAATACTTTTGGCTTCATTTCAATGGGAGGTTGGATTCTTGATTCTGAAGCAACAGATCACATGACCCTCTTTCCTTCACTCTTTGCATTATATTCCAAAGCAAATGTTAAACAATTCATTATGGTTGCTAATGGAGATAATTTGTCCATTGTTGGCTTTGGCAACATTCAACTAGAGGCCTCTATTTTCTTACATAATGTCTTACATGTCCCAAAATTGGCTAGCAGTCTTATTTCTATACAAAAACTCACAAAAAGCTTGAATTGTTCAGTATCATTTTTTCATTCTCATTGTTCCTTTCAGGACCTGGACAAGGGAAAGATGATTTTAATTGCTAGAGTCGGGTGAGTTGTACTTTCTAGAGCAATAAAGAAATATTAACAAGATTATGGAGTCAACCTCAAGCTAACATGCGAAGACTGGTACTTGGGCCATCTCTCAAATATGACTTCAACACAAGAGACTTGGACATCCTCCCTTTTGTCCTATTAAATCTTTGTTTCTGCATTTGTCTACAAAAGTTTTTGTCGATTTGTTTAATGTGATGTTTGTTAGTTATATAAACACCATCATTCTTCTTTTCCAATTAATGGTAATAAAAGTTATTTCCCTTTTAACTTAATAACTCTAATGTGTGGGGACCCATTATGGAATCTATTTCCGATGCTAAATGGTTTGTGGTATTTGTTGATGATTGTACACAAGTAACATGGACATACCTTGTGAAAAATAAATCTAAGGTTGGTCAAATATTTGTCAATTTCTTCCATCTAGTTCATAATCAATTTAGTAAGTCCATTAAAAGAATCAGATATGATAATGGTATTGAACACGTGAATCATGATTTGGCATTGTTCATGAACTTACATATGTTAATAACCCCCAACAAAATGGGTTTGTAGAAAGAAAAAATCACCATCTCCTAAAACTTGCTAGAGCTTAACTCTTCCAAATGCCTATTCCCAACACTTTCTAGGGAGAAACTATCTTAACTACCACCTATCTAATAAATAGATTACCCATTTGTGTCCTTAATGGTGTCAGCCCTATTGAATCTTTACAATCATTGGTTGTGTTGCTCTTGTTCAATCACATTGCCCTCATCAAGGTAAATTAGATATGGGGGCAATCAAATGTGTCTTTGTTGGTTACTTGTCAATTAAAAAAAGATACAAATGTTATCATCCACAAATTTGTAAGTTCTTTGTATCCACAGATATCACTTTCCATGAAAATAAGTCTTTCTGTTTGCCCTTGACTTCAGGGAAGAAAATTTTAGAACCAGAAAACAAGTTGTCTCTATAAGATAATGAAGAAGAAGAAGAAAATAAATAAATTCTTAGGTATAAAATACTAAAGGAGGAAAACCCACCTTGGTTCCAAAGCAAGAAGAATTGTTTGACTCAGATGTGAGTGATCCTAAAGGTAATTTTGAGGAAGTGTAAATGATATTAAAGGAAAAAGATCTTGTATTCAATATACTATTTCACAATATGTTTGTACTGAAAATTTGTCTACCTAACATCGTAGTTTCATTGCTGCCAATGATTCAATAGATATCCCAACTTTAGTTTAGGAGGCTATGAGAGAAGGTTATGAGAGGAGAGCACTAGATTCTAGCCATGAAAGAAGAAACGAAGGCATTGGGGAAAGAAAAACTTAACAGGAGTCTGTAGACAGACCCAAAGACAAGAAAGTTGTAGAGTGTAGATGGATGGATATTCACAATAAAGCATAGTGTTGATGGGACACTAGACAGAAACAAAGCAAGATTGGTAGCAAAAGGGTACATTCAAACTTAAAGGATAGACTATGAGAAGACGTTTGCACCGGTGGCAAAGATGAATACAATATAGGTTATACTTTCCTTGGTAGCCCATTTTGGTTAGGACTTCCAATAGCTTGATGTAAAAAATGCCTTCCTAATGGAGATTTAGAAGAAGTTTACATGGAAATTTCCCCAGGATTTGGAGCTTCAAATGGATAAAACAAAGTATGTAGATTAAAAAAGGCCTTGTATAGCCTCGAGCAATCTCCACAAGCCTTGTTTGAGAGATTTACCCAGACAATGATTTCCTTGGGATACAAACAGACAATGATCATACTACGTTCATAAAACACTCCCTTAATAGCAATCTCACAATACTTTTAGTCTATGTAGATGACATGATCAATGCAGGTGATGATGATGAAAAATTGACCCTAAAGAAGAAGCTAGCAACACAATTTAAGATGAAAGACTTGGGGAAGCTGAAATATTTCTTGGGAAGTGAAGTTGCATATTCCAAGAAGGGCATATTTATCTTTGGAAGAAAGTACGTCCTTGATCTTCTTAAAGAAAGAGGAAATTTGGGATGCAAAACCTCAAAAGTGAAGAAAGTCCTTCAATGGAAAAGTTTCAATATGAGAAATTGGTAGGGAAGTTAATTTACTTATCACACTAGACCAGACATTGCTTATGATGTGAGTGTAGTTGGTCAGTTTATGCATGACCCTCGGGAAATGCATATGCAAGTAGTTGACATGATCTTTTAGTACTTGAAGTCAATCCAAGGAAGGGATTAATCTTTAGATGAGGAGACACCATGTCTAAGGAGATTTATACTGATGCAGATTATGCAGGGTCAATCACATATAAGAGATCTACTTCTAAATATAGCATGTTCTTAGGGGGAATTTGATGACTTGGAGGAGTAAGAAACAAAACATAGTTGCTAAATCTAGTGTAGAAGTTGAATTCCAATCCTTGGCATAGGACATGTGTGAAGGGCTATGGGTGAAGATTATTCTTCATGACCTCTGAATTAAAAAAGAGCTACCTATTAAGTTGTTTTGTGACAACAAGTCAACCATTGGCTTTGCTCACAATCCAATTCAACTAGACAGAACCAAAACATATTGAGATAGATAGACACTTCAACAAAGATAAGTTAGACAGTGGTCTTATTGTTATAGCTCACATCCCTACAAGAGTCCAGGTGGTAGATGCACTTACTAAAGGACTTCCTACTAGTAGATTTCAAGAGCTAATAGGCAAGTTGGGAATGATTGATATAGATATTTATTCACCAATTTGAGGGGGAATGTTGTAAAAAATGAGTATTTTAGGAAATATGATATTATTATGTAATCTTTGATTATTTCCTTTATTTTGGTTTATTTTCATAGTTACCTTGTTTAGAGACAAATATATCTCTACAATAGGATAATATAAGAATGTAATTGGTAGAACACAAATTGATAAAATCATCTCTTTCAACTTAAAATTACTATAATATTGTTTAGATATCTTATGTTGGTATAGAAATTGCAAAAACTGTGTTTTGTGTTTTGTTACCACACAAGTAATCCTCTGTCTATAATGAATAAGGATACAAAATAAGGAAATATGGAAATAAAAGATAACAAGTAATAATGAGTAGAATCTCTAATTTCCGCCATACAAGTTTCCCTAATTATAAAGGAATAAAGGAATAAATGATATCAAATCATATATTTAACACTCCCCCTCAAGCTATAGGGTATATGTCATGAGTCGAGCTTGTTACAAATGTCATTAACTCGAGAGCCCTTGAAGGATTTGGTGAATATATCTGCCAATTGGTAATTGGATCTGACAGTGATAGTTGGTAAAAGTTGGAGAAGGTCATTGTACTTAACAACAAAAACACTCAAAAATGCACGTTTGCATCAAGTGCATGAACATTACACACCAGAGTGTGGCGCCATGTGAGAAGAAAGATAGCGGTGGTTTTTGGACAAAACAGGTTGCCAAAGACTCTTTTTGTCAAAAGTGATGGCACACCATCAATCAAAGACATGATGGAGTGCCAATTAGAAGCTCTAGGTTGCAATTACTTTTCATTGTGTTGGTACTATTTAGTTGTGAAATGCACGATGAATAGTGCACATTAGTGAGTGGCAATGAACAACGGTGGTTCTAGGATAGAACAAGTCACCAAATACTCCCCTTGCTAGTAGTGGTGGTGCACTGTCAGCCAAAGGCGGAGCTGCAAATGGAAGTTCCAGGATAGGAGTTATTGTTCACCACTAATTGTTGTTAAAGAGAAAAATAGGGTGTGTGGTCATTTGTGGTGACCAATAGTGGCATTTCTTGGTTGCAGGGTTGTCACCTAAATGTGGTGACTTTGTTTGTGTGGTCGCGTCGAAGAAAGGGTAGCAAAACAACAACACACAGAACTTCACAGTTGTTCATGGTACTAATCCCACAAAAATGCACCCATGCGTATGAACGTGCGATGACATTTCTAGTGGCACGGTCGCCTTAGTATGTCGACTCCACTAGTGTGGTTGCGCAAAAGGAGAAAGCATTGCTCGACAGTGACCCACGAAGCTTTGTTGTTGTTTCCAGTACTGTACACATAGAAACATACACACCGGAGAGTGGTGGCACGTGTAGACGAGTGTGAGGGTTAATGACATCATTTCTGATTTAACGCTATCGTTAGAGAACCTACATCCCCCTTGGCTCTGATACCATATAGGAATTGTAGGAATTGTGTGTTTTGTAACCTCACATGTAATCCTTTATTTATAATGAATAAGGATACAAAATAAGGAAATATGGAAATAAAAGATAACAGGTAATAATGAATAGAACCCATAATTTCCACTATACAAGTTTCCCTAATTATAAAGGAATAAATCATATCAAATCATATATTTAACAAATAGAATAGATTATAAACAATATTCTATCATATACCAACAAATTGGAAGGGGAAAAGGTTGTAATGAGTGGGAAAAAAATGGAAAGGATTAAATCCATCAAATTTCATTCAATTTCTCAATATTTTTAAGAGTAAACCATCAAATTAGTAGTCCAAAGTTACAAACATCACTATAGTAGTCCTCCAAATGTTTTATTAAGAAAACTAGTTCCTTGAGACAAATCTTCTAGAGGACCAATGTGGTGATGCATGTAACTTAAAAAAATCAACTTGAGGGTTTACCAATAGTAATTAATATTATTCTATTCCTTTCCTTTCTATCAATTCATACATAATTGTAAACAAGCTTTGTTATTGCAAACCTTCATTTGCTCAAAAACTGCCTTGATAGTTTTCTCATCAGAACCAAATCCAGAACTTGCTGTCGAAGCTTCATCATCAAAGGTTTGTGTCTGCAAACCAGACTGCAGGCAATCAAGGAGATCACCAAACAATAAGTAAATTGTTCCCCATCACAATTGTTTTAATATGCCTCAAACACACACCAGCAAGAGGTGGAACTTACCAATGTGGCAGCAAAACAATCTGAGACCTCAACAGCCGAATGCCGACGAGACCATGTGTGCAGATCTTTCCCTTGATCAGTCACACCATTCTCACTTCTTCCAACTAAACCACCTTTTCGATTACTCCCCACTAACTTAAAACCATTCCCTTCTTTACATTCAGCTTCACTCTACACAAACAACAAATGTAAAAACAACTTAAACTCCTTTCATACCTTTATCTCCATATCCCACACCAAACAACGAAAAGAATTTTACTATTGAATTTAATTAGAATGCACCATGTACTTTTGTAATAATTATTTTAAAAGTCATATCTAGGATAATTTCTAATTACCATTAAAGCGGTATGTGAGCTGGGTTCAGAACGTTGATAGTGAAAAAATATTTACATTGAGGCATTGCATGAAAACTAGACTCTTCTTTATTAAAGCATAAAAAAAATTAAAAAAAAATTAACATGACAGGATGACACTACAAATATCCTATCTTGTTCTTACTTTTTATCTTTTCTGTAAGTATGTATCTCAAAAATATAATGCAAAAAGTCAAAGGAGACAACTTTTTTCTCGTTCATAAAACATTTCCCCAATGGCCCAATAAAAAGGATCACCAAATTTGTGCTTGAGAAACATGTTAGTCCCCGAGAGTCAAATAGTAAAAAAGGTTACCTTAATCCATAAGAAGGAAGAACCTTAAGCGTTATATCCATTAATACTTTTCAGTAACTAATGTGTCACATGTTTAAGGATTAACATCACCAACATTAATAATTTTTAATACCAAAGTGAAATTTTACATTATTATGAATAATGTGTCCTACCACTTTTCGATCCAAATTTGGGGTTTGGAAACACATCATAAAAACATAAGAGTAAATACCCAAATTGGTCTTTGAATTTGGAAGGTGTTGTCATATTAGTCCTCGAAACCAAGAAATTGTTAAATATGTCCCTAAAAATGCAAATTCACAATCATATTAATTCAAAACTCAAAAAAGCATATGACTAATGTGATAATATTGATATATATTCAAGAACTAAAATGAATATAAGTAGTTAAATTTCAAGGCTTATTTCACATTCTAGGAATTTATTTGACAATTTCTTAGATTCAAGGACCAACTTGACACTGTCTTTCAAATGCAGAGACTGAAGTAGATGTTTACTAAAATCATAAATAAGCAAACTATTATTCTTTATTATACACTGTATAGAATAAGGACTTTTTGGATAAACTTATTCCTAAATGCTTGTAAGAGAAGAAAATACGAAAGTAAAATGCATAAAGTTTCTCCTACAAGTTAAAATTAACTTATGCACAAGTTAAAACCATCTTTTGGAGAAGCTAAATGAAACAACTTTTATATATTAACTTATGCATAAGTTAATATTATATCTATGAAGAACAGACAACTCTTATTTGCGATCATGTAAGACAATTCTAATTAGATGTCCAATTAAAAAATTATTTTTAAGGGGACACCTCTATACAACTCGGACACTTGAGCCAACACCTCCTTATGAATGGACACACTAATACTATTAAAAATAAAAAATAAAAAATAAAAAAGCTTCCATTTTAACTTTTAGATAATTCAGCTTAAAATATAAAAGAAAATATTTAAAATAAATAAAGACTGTCACCTACTTTTTAGGCTTGTTGTCATAGAAAACACATAGAAGTTTGGTTTTAAAAAGGCGAATATACCATCAATATAAATATTTTATGTTACTCGTATTTCATTTCACTAGTCTCTCTCTTTGTTTGTGTGTATGCAGTATCTCAATGTCCTATATTTTAGGCATTGGTCATGTCAAAGTGTTGTGTCTCTATCAGTGTCTATGTCATATCCGATATCCATGCATAGTAAATAATATGTGCACTAATATACCTCATGAAAAAGTTTTACATTTTCAGTTAATCACAAATCATCATACATGTATCATAAGTTTATGACTTTCATAATAACTACCTTAAAATTTATATTAATGATGATTTTTTTATTGATTGAAAGTACAAAACCTGACAGTAGATGCCTATTAAACTCTAATATATATTTATTGAGCAATGTTGGAAACACACTTTCTAACAGAGTCTCTTTTATTAGTTAAAAATTATTAAAAATTGCAAAAACATAAATGAGGTTCATAAATAAAGGGTGAGACACAATTTTGTAATTTCCAATCAGATGAGTGTAGCTAGAATTTTTCATAATTATTTCGAAGCATTCCATAATATGACTTGAATTTATAACATGAATCATTCCAAATTTTCCTAAACCATCTTCCTACTTCTTTCTATTCTACTTCTTCATCCCGCAAGTGCAAAACTGTGTTATATTTCCAAGATATTAAATATATTTACTTTTTTATTAGACTCAAATTAAAAGTGTTGCTGATATTTTTTTTATGAGAACCAATCTTAAATGTCTCTTGTATTATTAATTTTTTCATACAAGAAATACACTTAATTAAGGTCATTTCTCTTAATTTAATAAAAAGTCAATGGAATAAGGGGTCTCATTATTGCAAGAGTCGATCCCATCTTGGACATGGAATTGGAACTAGAGATATCACTTTATCCCTATTGGGGCCAACGCAGTGGGAAGAAGTTATTCCTCCTTATCAAACCCAAAAAAAATAAAAATTTTGTTTTCAAAACACTCAAACTACTAAAAGGACTCAACCAGGTCTGCTTGGAACTAGACTCAACTTAAATAATCGTGGATGAAAAACATATGGTTGAGTGAAGAGACTGAACTAAAAGTGTCCAACCACATTCCATATCAAAGATTGGTTATTGGTAGAAACTTCACACCAATAACATTTCTGCACTAAACACTACTACAAATACCCATACAAACAAAATTTTCATTCCTGGATTCACATTTTATATTCCGTAAAAAAAAAAAAATTCAATTGAGAGCGTGAATCGTAATTAGAAGACCAATTTAACGCGTCGCATACCTCGGAAGTGGAATAGTTCAGATGCCGCCTCGAAACCGGACACTGCGAAGCGGAGCGGGCGCGTCGGCCCGATTCCGCTCTGGAAAAGGTCCGACCCGTTTCTTTCCGAGCGGGTTCGGACTTCCGCGCGGAATCCGCGGGCGTGGAAGCTTCTGGAAGGGTTTTGGCGCATTGGGATTGGGCCTCGTCGAAGAGAGGGTTGTCCCTCTTGTTGAGGAACTCGGTGGAAACGTCGGAAGTGGCTCTGGAGAACGCGCTCACGCTCCTCGACCTGCGAATGGGGTTGGGAGCTCTGGTGGAGGATCTGCCAGAAGATGATGATGACGTGGCCGAAGGGGTCGAAGGCTGGGTTCCTCTTCTCGAGGAGGATTTGAAGGCTGCAACTGCCATTGGAGAAAGTTCAGAGAAAGAGAGAGAAAATTAGCGGGTTGTGGAGAAAGGGGAAGGTGGGAAAGTTCCTTCCATCTTCGAATTGATCGGAATCTGCCAGCCTTTTGTTTTATTATTTTTGTATTGTTGTATTACAATTTGTTTTATAGTTTGTTACTTTTTGATATTTTTTTATTATTATGTGTATTGCCTTTCGAGTTTTCGACTGAATTTCGATTATTTTGGAAAGTTTATTTTATTACTGAGGATCAAATGTTCTTTTAGGAAACCAAAGGTTGAAATAAGTATTGTATATTTTTATATCTTTTTTAATTTTTGGATTCAATTGGTTTTTAATGATTTAATTTAAATTTTTAATCATATAAAATTAATTTTTATATATCAAATATCTAATTTTACATTTAATTTAATTTTTATTTATTATAATTAATTATAAAAAAATTCTAATAAATTAAATTATATTTTTATTTCTCTATTTTTGTCAATCTACTAATACTTCTATTTTAAAATAAAAATATGTAGCCTCTTATTCTTAAAAAATATAAAATTTTGGTCATGTCATCAATTTAATGTTTATTAATTGTTAAATTTGACATCATTTAGTGATTTGTTGTTTGATAATATGTTATTTAATGTGATATTTTGTGACGTGACCAAAATTTTCTATTTTTACAATTAAAGAGATTAAATATCTCTATTTTAAAATAGAGTGACCAAAATTATGAATAAATGAAAATAGAGAGGTCGAAAGTATAATTTAATTATTTTAATATTTTTAAAATAAATTATCAAAAAATAAAATAATTTTGTGCTATAGTATAAATTATTTATGATAAATCTAAAATATAATTTATATATTTAAAAATAGACTAAATTATATTTTTGATCCCTCTATTTGTTTTCAAAATTCAATTAAGTCCAACTATTTTTAAATAATTCAATTTTGGTGCTCTAATTTTTTAAAATGTTCAATGTTATCTTTTCGTTCAAATTGATATTAATGACATTAATGAAATATGACAAAAGGACAATATTGAATATTATTTGAAAATTACAGGACAAAATTGAATCATTTAAAAATAATGGGACCAAATTGAACATTTCATAAAAATAAATAAATTGAACAACAAATTATCTAACATTTTTTTCTTAGATAAATTTGAATTTTATTTTACCTATTTAATAATTTCTTATATTAGATAAAAAGATGTTGGGAGCTACCATGGTAACTCATGAGAAAACAGGAGATGTAAGGCTTAGATGAAGTGTTACTCTTTAGAGTCATTATAAGTTGTTCTTTATGAAAGAAAACGAAACGATTGATGAGATGTTTGGTACATTCCAAACAAATCTTAATTGGTTAAAATCCTTGGGAATTGAGCTATCAAAAACTCAAAACAATTTGAAGACCTTGGATAGTTTTTCAAAGATCTAGAAACCAAAAGTTATCATCATATTAGAGGCTCGTGACCTCAAGACTCTCACAATGGATGAACTCTTAGGAGCCTTAAGAGTTCTTGAAGTCCATCTAAACAATAAAGATAATTTGAAAGCCAATAATTTTGCTGCTTTAAGGACTCATGAAACCAATAAGAAAAGGAATAAATGCAAAGCTCTAATGGTTGAGTCTGAACACAAGAAGCTTAGATTTTCCCTTCTTAAGAAACCTACTTAAGAAAAATGAAACATAGAGGTTAAGAAACGAATTCACCTGATGAACAAAATATATAATAGTAAGTGAATCAACCAAAGTAACTTATCTTTCCACTCCATGAATATGATCAATTCAATTCTTGAAATCTTTCTTGAGTTACCACAAAGGTTAAATAACTTATTCTTGCAAAGAAAAACATTTCTCAAAGAGTGTTTTCGAAAAATATATCACAAAGATTCAAGTCTCTCCTTCTAAGTATGAAAAATGATATATATATATATAGAAGTTTTCTAACTAAAATAATTGATTGTTTACATGGATAATCGATTATTTTGTTCTTCATAGATCTGCAAATCAACCAAGAACAATTTAATCAATTATTTTGAGCAATAATCAATTTTTTCATAAACCTACTTTTGAAATAATCAATTATTTTGCTGAATAATCAATTATTATAGCAACTACTCCTCAAGTTACTGAAAAAATAGAGCAAATAATCGATTATTACTTAAGATAATCAATTATTTTAAGTGAAAACTCAATATCTCAATTTTCATACCGTTTCTCTTTACAAATCAATTCTAAAACTTATTTTAATCATCAATCATCATTTAAATAGAGATAAAAGGCCAAGTTACGTACTAAACATAAAACACACAAGCAACAAAGTTGTAAACACACAAACAAGATACAATGTGCACTCTTTGTTTTTAAAAGGCTCAAAACACAAAATAAAATACAAGTTGCACTCTTATCTTTCAAAAGGCTTATTTGTAATCATCAAAACCAACTAAGACCATGACTTCATCTTGAGGTTGATCAACAAACTCTTCCTTTTTGATGATGAAAACCTTCCTTTTCACTTGTTTTGATTCATCTTTTTTAAACCAAATTATACTCTTGTATTTACTCTTGTTGCTTCAATACTTTGTACATACAACCTGTAAAACAATTACATATATTTCTCCATTTTGGATATCATCAACAACAATTCTATACCAAGTTTAAAGTCCAAAACTCGAGAAATCTCATACATTTCAGATTACATAACCACTTTTTTAATATGTAATCAATATTTAAGCATCATACAAGTAGCGAAAGTTATAAAATTTTCAATACAAGATAAGTATTCATTCATTAAAAACCATATTATAGCATACTAAATTTAAATTGTTTAAAACATAAAACATTTAACAATATTTAAAGCAAAATGAAAATTGTTCATAACATTAAAACATCAAAAACCATTACAACAAACCAAATTGTTTAGCCATTATTAAATTACAAACCAACAAAATATAAGAAAGATCAACAAAAAACTAGCCTAAGAATAAACCAACAAAACAAAACAAAAGATCCTAAAACCAAGGTCCTTAAAATGAGTCATCCTCTTTGCCCAAGTAATATTTGCTATTGTTAATCTCATCTTGAAGTTCATCAAATCTATCAAACATCCTAAAGAATGTAAACTCATGCTTCTTGTTGGCCTCCATGATATCATCCATCTTGTTAACCAAAATTTGTTCAATTAGAGAATGATTTAAGTTCCGATTCCACTTCTTTAGCATGTTCCATTTCTTGTTCCTCAACATCAGCCTCATCACCAACTACTCCATCCTCATCAACCATAGGATCAAGAGTTTGAGGCACATCTTCATAAGGATAAAGACCATCTTCATTTCTCCTTACTTTCCAAATATAGTCATTCATAACATATAGCCAATCTATTTGCACCTCCACCAAATGCTTCCAAAATCCTTTTGATGGGTTCTATCTTCTTCAGTGGTACCTTTTTAAAATAGGAAGACTTTGTATACCCCAAGGATCCATTAGAAAGCTTTTGATTATGGAAAGTCATGAGAGAGGTCTCATATGCCATTTTGGGGTTGATAAAACCCTAAGTCTTTTAAAATATAAATTTTATTGGCCACACATGAGAGTGGATGTTCAAAGGCATTGCTCTAAATGTATCACTTGTGTTCAAGAAAAATCAAGAGTGATGCCTCATGGACTCTACACCCCTCTTCCTATAGCTAGCTCCCCTTGGGTTGACATTAGTATGGATTTCGTACTTGGTCTCCCAAGAACCCAAAGGGGATTTGATTTTATCTTTGTGGTAGTGGATCATTTTAGCAAAATGGACCATTTTATACCATGCCACAAAGTGGATGATGCTAGCTATGTTGCTAAACTTTTCTTCAAGGGGGTGGTCTATTTTCATGGGTTACCCAAGACTATTGTGTTTGATAGGGATGTTAAGTTCCTTAGTTATTTTTGGAAAATTCTTTAGGAAATCTAGTAACAAAACTTGTCTATTCCACTACTTGTCACCCACAACCCGATGGGCAAACTGAAGTAGTGAATAGATCCCTATCTACATTGTTAAGGGTCATTCTGAAAAGGAACAAGAAAACATGGGATGAATGCCTCCCCTGATAGAAAAGAATGGCACAATCCAAGAGGGGGGGTGAATTGGATTCTATAACCCTTTAAAAAATTATCAGAGTTTCTAGGATCTTTATTTCACTTAAAACTTTTCTATGACTGAATTTCCAAATGAAGCTTTTCTAAAGACTTGTTATGAAAATATGAATGCAATATGCCCACTTGATTACAACATAATGAGGTTCAATAACAATGCACTAATTCAGATTTAAACCATCAAGATTCACATACACTTGTTAATCAAGTTTTATCTTCTTTAAAGTTCAACCAAGAAATTACACAATGTAAAAGATAAGGTAGAAGAAGATTGCACAAGTCTTTTATACTGGTTCAGCCACTCCACATGTGACCTACATCCAGTCCTTAATCAACACCTGATTAAGATTTGTTCCACTATCTTTAAGCAAGAAGGTTTACAAGCACACACACATGCATATACTTCAACACTAAAGATAACCACTTTCTTGACCCCAAGAAAGCACCCCTTGTAGAACCCACTACAAGAAACCTTA